AGTTTGATTTTTAATGATATTATAATGGCTGCCGTTAAAGATTAGAAGGCGGCAAGGGAGAAACTAAAAAAGTAGGAAAGGGTTTCTGTGCATACAAAGACTGTGTTAAAAAGCCAACTAAGGGGAATGAGGAGAAGCAGTGGTCAGATGCCAAGTTGTTCACCCTGCTATGACATGGGCAGGATTTGGGGCAACTGAGACTGATTCTGGCCTGGACTGATTCCTTCTGTTGGAGACAGACAGTTCACAGAGGCCTGCCTGAGAATCTTGACGCTGCCACTGTCTAATCTGTGACTGGGGCACCTTTAATAGCCTCCATCAGTCTGTTCCTCATCTATAAAATGCTGAAAGTGAAACCTAGCTTAAATGGTTTTCTTGAGGAATAGAAAAGAAATACCTATTCATAGATATCTATGTAAACTATCTAGTATATAGTAGGTACTCAGCAAATGCACGTTCCCTTTCTTTTTAGTACATTCCTCTTTCACAATTCCATACTTTACCACAGCATTCCCTCTTCATCATAGGTTATTTAGTCCATCATCCTATTTACCTGACACACAATTGAGGGATAAGAATGCAAGTCACTGAGGATAGTTTTGGAGCATAAAGGCCTTTGTTTACAAATACCTGGGAATCTGCTAGAGGAAAGCTTATATGATTTGAGATCACTTTAGTTAACTTTAATATCATAGTATTTGCATTTTTCCAATTAGTTTCATTTAGTAGAAAAAAGTAATTTAGTCCGTAAAGGAGAATTCAAAATTATTTTAAAAATTAACCTTCCAGTTTATAAACTGGTTTTTAATCTTCCGGTAATTGTATTCAAGTAAGTATGTGAATTGATGCATAAAGCAGTTGATTATCAAGTATACAAGAAAACGTTACCTATTAACTCTGACTTTAATGTCAATAGTTAATTAAAAATAGTTATGTAAAGAAAGTCGAAGCTCTGACGTGGGCGGAGAGGGAGGGCAAGGGCAATATATGTAACCTAAACATTTGCACCCCCATAATATGCTGAAATTTAAAAAAAGAGAAAAAAAGTAGTTATGTAAAGAAAGTTAATATTTATTTTTAAGCTACAGAATGATTGCTTTATAAGAGGGAATGTTTTGAATTATCTGTGGAATCTTTTATAATTATAATCTGTAATTAAACATTATAGTGTTTTCTGCCCTTAAAGACAAATGTTGACTTTAGGAGTTTTAATTTTAGCATATTATTATAGCTTTTTATAACACTGAGTTTTCTATCACTTTAATACTAAAGATATCAAATAAAGAGTATGGTAAATTAAAGTAATCTTTTCAATTAGGTATTTTGGAAACTAAACCACTGTAACTGCTTTGTTGTTTAGTAAAGCAAAAATTCAAGTGCATACGTTCCTGTTTTTAGTTACTGGTCTTAAAAATATGGCAATTTAGCTAAAATGTCTTGTGTGGGTCAGTGAAATGATTTTTAATTTCTACATAGAATATTTCATGTAAAAATTTTGTTTCGTATTTTGTTGACAGTTTATAAATATATCCATTAAAATATTTTTTCTTTTATTTAGTCTTAGGAAAGATTTATTCAAGGGGAAGAGACTCGATATTTTTGACATTAAGGCAGTTACTGAAGAAGCACCTGTAACAGGTTTGTTAAGAAAAAAAAAAAAACTGTTTCTCAAGTGGAGAAACATTCCTTCTTTCAAAGATATCCTTAGTGTTTTGATGGTATAATAGCTGAATATTTTAATATTCCATCTCATCATTGGCCTGGATCCTGCTTATGAATATAGTTGTCAACATTGCTAGTCTTGGTCAAGTTTCTTCCTTGAAATGTTGCATTCTGTGAGACAATGGGAGGTAAGTACCACCAGCTGTATGAATCCAAAGGTATAGATTGGCTGTTAATTTGGGTTAGAATATTAGTAATCACCTACCATTTGCAATGCATCTTTGTGCTATTTCACAAAGATAAGCTATGGTTCCTGCTCCTCAGCAGTTTTTTGTCTAGGGGAGGAGATAGCATTTATAGAAATAACTTACTGAAGTGATTTAGTGATTGTTCAGGAGATGGGAAGAACATTTGGGGAATATATTTAATAGACTTGTAGTGTTTTTCCTTAATGCACGATTACTCTTTGTTCTCTATTTTTCCTCTTCTTCTTTGGGTAAGAAGTCAAATTCTTCAAATTTGCCATTTTAATTCTGAAAGAGAAATAGGAGTGTCCTCTTGCTTGCTATTAAATTTGGCTTACTGATAAGAGAAATGAAAAAACTCAATACAAATAGTCTCCATCTTATAAGCAATGAGCATTTCTGAAGAATGGAAGTTAGCTTTTTGGATCTTGGTAGAAATAATGTTGTATGTGATAGGCCTAGGCCAGCCTCCAGTGGCTCATTTAATCTTTCTACCCGTTACTCATCTAAACTTCTGATTTTCTGACTATTCAATAACTCCTTGATATTAAGGGTTAGGTCTCACTCATGTTTGTATACGCTGTACCACCTAGTCAGGTGGCTTATAGATAACAGGAATTAGTTATCTTGAGTCTTAAATTCTTCTTTGAATAAACTGAGCTGTACAATATCTATCCACAGGAAAGGAGTTAATTCAGTCAGTGTTTCCTCATTTGAACTGAAAGCGAAGCCAAAAGAACAACCCCCTTCTTGTATTGTGAAAACTGCATTCTATTGTGTATGATGAAAAGGAAATGCATAATGCAAAGGCATGAAGGATGAATCACCTCTCCTCTGTTCGAGTGGTATCTGTTAAGCTTGCTTCAGAACGGAATTTGTTGTCAGGGCAGCTGCTATCGTCTAGCCAAAAGAGAAACTTGGAGTCTTGAAGGAGACAGCTTACTTTTTAAAATCAAAAATCTTATTCCTGAAATTGAAATTAGCTGGCAAGGAAGCACTGAAGTTTTGTGTATTTTATAAAACAATATAAAGTGATTATACTCTAAAGAGGAAAATAGCACACAAATTTATGCAATAATTTACTCATGAAGGTACTATTTTAATAAGCTAGTTGCATGAGTCTAAAGAATGTCTTTTGTTCCCAATTAAATACAAGAATAGCAATAATGCGGAAACTTAAATTTAACAATTGTACACTGCTGTTTTCCTACCACCTATAATAATGCCTGAAGTATAGTTGGCATTCAGTAATTACTGACTGACTGACTGAGTTCTTCTGTCCCGTGATTCCCAGGTCTGGTTCCCCAGTGAGTTCTTACCACCACTGCAAAGGATATCGTCATAGGCCCTACTGGTTATCCTAGTGTAACCTAGAGTCAACAGGCAGTATAGCTTAATTAAGCTTAATTAAGTTATCTTGCTTTTGTGACTGCTCTGTAAATATGACTGATTTGAGTCTAACTGTTGTGATCTTTTCTCAGTATCCAATGATCTAGGCCAACATACTTAAAATGCACTAGTTAGTGTGTGGTTAGACACATTCCTGCACATAAAGGCGCATAGGAACAGATTCAGTAAAAGGAAAATAGGTAAAGCTTACCTCGATAGAAGAGTAAATCAGCTGTTTTTTGGGAAGTTTCAGTGGGGTTGGCAAAAGTAGAGAAAAAGGCTGGAGAATAAATCATGTGTTCTATGCCTTTAACCCAGGAATTTTGTTCCTAGGAATTTATTCTAAGGACATAATTACAGATATGTGCAAAAGTGTAACTATAAGGATATTTATTACTACGGTGTTTAATAGAGAAAATATGCAAATGATCAAAATATCCAACGATAGGGGGTTAATTGTGATTTAGCTATTAAGTGGAAAAAACAGGTCATCAAACTATATGATCCTATTTTATTTAAAGAATCAAAATCACACTGAAAAAAAGATCAAAAAGGTTTGAAAAAATAAGAATAAAATTTTAGGGAAAAGCGTGGCTATTGGTATTCACTTTTTTACAGCTTTATGAAAGTATAATTTATGTACAACAAATTCCACACGTTTAAGTTGTGTGATTCAGTGAGTTTTGACACGTATATATCCATGAAACTGCCAGTCAAGATAGTGAATATTTCCATTACTGTCAAAAGTTTCCTTATGTCCTTTTGTCACACACACACGCACACACACAAAGTCTTCAGGCAACCACTGATCTGTTTTCTGTGACAATAGATTAGTTTGCATCTCTTAGAATTTTATATAACTGAAATTAAACAGTATGTACTCTTTTATGTCTGGCTTCTTTCGCTCCGCATAATGATTTGAGATTTATCCATGCAGTTGCATGTACCAGTAATTCGTTTTTATTACTAAGTAGTATATAATTATGTGGATGTATCACATTTTTGTATCCATTCACCTGTTAATGGACATTTAGGTTCTTTCCCAAATTACAACCCAAATTTGGCTACTAGAAAGAAAGCTGCCATGAGCTTTCATGTATAAGTCTTTGTGTGGGCATGTGTTGTCTTTTCTCTTGGGTGAATATCCAGGAGTGAAAAAGCTGTGTTGAATAATACGAGTAGTCTTAACTTTTTAAGAAGCTGTCAAACCCTTTTTCCAATGTAGTTAATACCATTTTACATTCCCAGCAGCAGTGACTGGTGGGAATATGACTCATTCTTGAAAAGATATCTTAAATGTCAAAAATAAATGATTGAAATGTGTAATATGATGGTGGTAATAAGGCAACATAATCTTACTCATTGGGTTGGTTGTGAGGATTAAATGAACTAACACATAAAAAGCATTTAAGTACCGAGGAAGTGCTAAGTATCCATTAGTGGATAATATCATTAATATTAATATTCTGTTAATTTAACTTCTGTGGGCTTTAATAGTCATACATTAGTAGTAGTTTTGACAAACTAAATTTAATAAACAGGCTAGACTTCACAGATTAAAGTCACATGTTGTATAAAAAATACATTCATAAAAAGACCCTTAAACAATATACAAATCTCTTTTTTCCTTTCTGGTAAAGGGGGCAATGATTACCTGGCAGTTGTAGTAAAACAAACATTAAGCTTGCCATTATTATAGTCATAGTCTTTACATATCATTTTTTTGGCAGTTTTAGCTCTCAGTAACCTTTTATTAATACTGTTTAATTGGGTCAAGGTCTGAAAATATATGATCAATTCAGAGTTGATTATAACATTTTTTAAAAGAAGATATCTACATTGACTTCTGCTTATGTAAAATGCTTTTATTATAGACACCTCACCTTCACTTTGGGATGTGGAATTTGCCAAGCAGTTAGCCACAGTAAATGAACAGCCCTTTCAAAATGGGTTTGAGGAGATGATCCAGTGGACTAAAGAGGGTAAACTGTGGGAGTTCCCTATTAACAATGAAGCAGGTGAGTATTAACTTCAAAGGTTTATAAAATTTATTGATA